TATGAATTTCAGACTCTGAATAAATTTACAAACATCAAAACAGTTTATGTAAACAGTAGTAATGTAATTTGTCATCTAGTCCATTACAAAACAATTTCATGGCATAAAAAAAATTCAACTCTACAAAGAATCCAAACATCTCATAGCATCAAAATCATGTTCGTTATGAAATATAGGGTATGACTAGACAACTCACATTTTATGTTATGTGAATCTAGTATGCTATGTATCAAACATATTCGAATGTTATCACACTGATTTTAATTTCAATTTGGATATAAGTTGAATAAAAAAGAAGAGAGAGAGAGAGAGAGAGAGAGAGAGAGAGATTACGCTCTATTTATGAGACTTCATGGCAGTAGACACTTATGATGTTGATGAAGCTCGTCATTTCACGATGTTGGAATTGTCAACTTATGAAAATAAAAGTTGATGACGGATGCAATCGAATAAGAACTAGAATTATAGAAGAAGAGGGAAGGGATACTAGAGGGATAGCACAATTAAAGAAAGAAATATGTTGGATTCAATATCGAAGCCTAAGTTACAATAAAAAGCCTACCCATACTTCTAATAAATGAGGAAAACTTCTAAGCTAATAAAAGGTTATCTTATAACATTATATATAAATTTTCTTCCTAAGTGTTCAATCTTGGTAAGTCTTCAAGGGAATATCTAATGTATCGCCGTCACAAGCTATAGAGCGACGAAGAAACAGTGCTCGAATTGTGCTGATCCTCTTGTCAACTCGCCCAAAGTGGAGATGTGAAAAAATGAGATCAAGAACCCCCTTCCATCATGTGTTGGCTGACGTTTTCAAGATCGTGCAATGATGTTTTATGTTTTCACAATTTTGGGGATAAACTTCAGAACGAAATAGCAGGGGGGGAAAAAAATTATAGACTTCTAAATCCTTACGACTTTTTTCACGATTATTGTTCTTCGACTAAGAGTGGCTGAATTATCTTAGAAATTATAAAAGAAATTATATAAGACACTGTGACAATTTAGACAAAAGAAAATTATGAAAAAAAATTTTAAGCTAGAATTCAAATAGATTTTCTGCTAATAAGTCAATTTTTAACTTTATAGGAACAAATTGTCATAGTAAACCTTTGTTGCTTTCCACTTGTACTATCTTCGTTACACAAAATTTTCGATTATATAACAATAGCATTTAAAAAATTTCTTGACTTGTTAGATAGAACTATAGAGCTAAATAGCTCGACACAATAACAATAAGAGTCCAACACAGATGGCCTCCATGTTTTGTATGATCAGATTGCAAAGATCGATGACATTCATGATTGACGCATATTTAAAAAATCAAAACGAAAAAAATAAGAAGTAAAAGCTCATATCCGTGACGTGACTAATTGGACCATAGGGCTCGAATAATAGTCGAGAAGACTTTCATGGATCAAGAATAGGTTTTTCACTGACCACTTCAAAATCAAGTTGCAATGATTTGTTAAAACTCAAATTATGCCTTCAAATTCTTTTGAATCGATACAGTTCAAGATCAAATTGTATCAATTTAGCACAATCTGACTAACTCAACTAGATGATCAAAATTGAGTCGCTTTGATCTCACTACATGTTTTACACCTCTACAATGCACTCTAATCAAAGTGGCATGTAGTGGTCATCTACTACGTACTAAGGATGTTCTTGTACTCCCTCAAAGCATCTCCACTGTATTAATGGAGTGTTGTAATAATTCATTTTCACGAGCAGAATAGTTAATGTTTAAAAAACAATTATTTTCAATGTAATCTAACATGGACACCGTGAAACTTTTTTGGCAAAGCAAAT